TGAAATTTCAATTATTTTTTTTTCACGACTCGGGGGGATTATATTTCGAAAATTGGCTTTTCCTCTGCCTGGCTTTTCCCCCCCGCCTCTCTGATGGTGTCGGGGACAAGAAATAAGGGACGATTTTTAAGAAAAAATATATATGTCGCGTCCACTCGAACGAGCTCAACGTATGACAACTTTCGGTTTTCTCTGGACTGGATTCGCTCCGTTCTCTTGAGCCCACACCCCCCCGCTCTATTACGAAATATTTTATTTTATTTTATTTTATCATTTATTTATTTCTCAAATCTCTTCGTTCTACATAATTACATTTTAATGATTTTCCAATTATTTTCGAAATTTTCAACTTATTTTATTACTACAAGCTATTCACCACCGCCTCACGTTCACCGTTCTCTATTACCTCCAAGCATCTCTTCTAAATTTTTCATTAATATTTTATTAATAATCAGTTCCAGACACCTTAATATTATAAGCTTTTGCTTAATTTACGTATTTATCCATAGTATTATATACATGTATAAATTTGCATACATTTATATTTCAACTATACTTGTCACGAGGCCCACACGACGTTTGATCATTGAACGATATTCGCGATCCTATTGTAGTCGATTCCATAAAATAATAAATAATATTAATAATCAGTCAGTGATCAATCGTTCAGCCTCTCCTGCATGTCCTATAGAACAAGGGCCACTGGCCGATCCTCAATCGGCCCTAATGTCCTTGTACCTTGGAGAACAAGTACTCTATGCATACATATATGTATTCGAAGTAGAACGATTCACTTCCGGATTAAGATGTGAGATATTTGCATGTTATGCAATCTAGGCGTTTACGGGGATGTACAGCGTGTGAAGATCCTCTACAACAAGAAGGACTCGGCACTCATTCAGCTGGCCGAACCGCACCAAGCACACTTAGGTAAATAAATTTTTGTTCACGTCTAAAACTTCACGTCACGTTTAGAAAATGTAATATTTGTGTCGTGGATGAGGTAAAAAATTTGTAACTAAATATTTTTCATTATTTGTCAATTCCAGCTATGACCCACATGGACAAGCTTAGGGTGTTTGGAAAGCAGATCAGAGTAATGCTCAGCAAGCATCAGGCTGTTCAGCTGCCAAAGGAGGGTCAACCGGATGCGGGGCTTACCAAGGACTATACCAACAGTCCACTTCATCGGTTCAAGAAACCCGGTTCGAAGAATTATCAAAATATTTATCCCCCGAGCTCCACTTTGCATTTATCGAACATTCCGTGAGTACAACAAAGAGCACAACGTGATTGCGGCTATGAGAATAAGGAATAGATTCTCAACGATTGATTTTCTTGTATTCATTACAGAGGCTCGGTGTCCGAAGAGGAGATCAAGGATGCCTTCACGAAAAATGGCTTCACAGTGAAGGCCTTCAAGTTCTTCCCAAAGGATAGAAAGATGGCGCTCATCCAAATGCCCAGCATGGACGACGCTGTGGCAGCTCTGATCGTGAGTAAACAAAAAAAACCGAATTTCAATTTGAATAAATTCTTTATCTCAATGCTCTTCCGTACCACGCGCTTATTTCCCCTTTCTTTGATTCATCCAGAAAATGCACAACTACCAGCTGAGCGAGTCCAACCACCTGAGGGTGTCGTTTTCGAAGAGTAACATCTAACAAGAGAGGCCGCCCAGCGAGCCGCAGTGGTTCCAGCCCTACGCCCTAGTCCACTACTGGTATCCCAGTGCTATATACGACTGATCAGCGAGTCGCGACGCACCCGTCGCGACGTTCGCATCGTTCGCAAGGTGTGTCGCCGCGGTGCACGGAGAAAAGACGTGAATGCGATGTGTGAAAGACTGCCGTTAACGTCCAGCTTCCAAGGATAATAGCGGCGTGCAGTGTCCATCGTATCTCGTGCCTGGAATCCGTTCTGACGGCAGCTGGGGATCGAATAGGGTTGCGAGCCACGTAAAAATGGCGGCCTCGAGAGGCGCGGAGACACTGCCCGTTCTCTCTGGCTGAGTTAACGTATCCGAGGGAGTTAGGTTAGGATAGGACACTCTTCTTCTGGAGTACGCATAGGTCTCCCTCGTCATCACCCGAACGGAGACTCCGCAGCCAACTTCACAGCCGGAGGATAGTCCATTGGCTATCGATGACACTTCCTGTAAGGTTAAATCGTCAAAATTTTTCATACGAGAACTGGCAAGGTCTCCCACCTTGAGAGAGCAAGAGAGATTGAGAGACGGAGTGTAAGAGAGTGAGAGAGAGCGTAAGGAACGAGGGAGCAGTACGAAGATACAGGAAGCGGAAGTGGATGAAGGGATGAAGATAGGGATTGAGTAAATTCCCATAGGTAAAAAAAAGGCTTTTGGCTGAGAGTCCTCATTCTTGTACAGAGTTAAACGTATGAATCGTAAGATATATATATTTTACAAGCATGACGCTAGCCGGGGACGCGGACAAGTACGCCACCGCGTTCTTGACGACCCTCCCCCTCCCCCCTACATTGATAAGAGTTAAGGATTTTTTTAGCTTAGGATGATACAGGCAACTTTGTTCGTAGGTTCATTCATATTATAGACATACATACACGCATTAATTACATAACACTGATACTACAGACACGTATTAACGAATACGCAGCTAGATTAATTGATTAACCGCGTCGCACGTGTGCGCGTCAGGATCTACGCGCTTATGACTTTGCGGAGCTGATCGGAGCAGCAGATTTGCTGTGACGAAGAACTGGATTTATATGAAACTATAGTCTACTCGTGATAAGGTACAATAGTACCAGTTAGTAGACCCTATCTTTCTTCTTTTTTACATCCATATCGCGCGAGACGGTGCTAACGTGCGTACTTGTTTCTAGAAGTTTTTATAATCAGAAAATTGAATCGTCCACCGCGAAGTTCATCGTTTCACGCTATAATGCGAACGAAGAAAGGAACTTGAAGAATATTCAAAATTTCGCTGAATTCACGCCGTAAGAACTTTATTTCTATTGGTGCCGATGATCCGATGGTGCATGGTGAAATCACGAGAGATTGAGGAAGAAGGCAATTGGCAAAAGAAAGAAAAAATGGAAACGAAACAAAGTAATAGGGAAATAAGCAATCCATCGCGCACGTCGTCGTTACCGACGGTTATTTTTCGAATTTTTATTATTCCCATTGAGAGTTCAATTGTAAGTATTATATTACACAGGCGCACAATCCACGCCCACGCGACGTTTAATTATAAAAAGCAAAATACACACACTATACACAGGAGATTTAGCTTAGGTGCTTAGGACTTGCGTAGGCTTTTATTGTATCGTAATGAAGAAAAAAAAAAACAAGTAAGCGACGGGGAGGCGTATAAGTGAACATTGAACATATCGCTATTTCAAAGTTTCTATGTACAACACGCATAGAGAAGCGTCATGATGGGTCTGAACCGTTAGGTCCGGCATGTATGGCTGTAATTTAATTTAATTAAACCCCTTTGTGTCTTCACTTTGTTAAGCCACCACTTGAATATCTCTTTCTTTGTCTCCGCCGTTCTATCCCGTAACTAATACTTGCCAGCGTGCTTCTCCGTGGCAGAAATTATCAGCCACCACGTGCCAAACCTACCGTGTCGCCATCTGCACGAGCCTCGATAAAGCGGACAACATGGTAGCTAAGAGTCTGTTGTGTTTAAGAGGTTACTGATCGTTCAAGATATAATAGGTGTGTGACGATGATACGTTTAATCAGTACCAATCAGCGACGCATTAACAATGTCTGATCGGTGTTAAGAAGAGAGCCGTGAAATGATCGGATCATGGAGTATTGTCGGTGGATGATTGTAAAAAATGGTTCTGATACGTCAGGTTAAAGGAAACGAAAGAATTGATGTCTCCCGAGATTAGAGCAATGACACACGACGACCATGTATTTCCCACGACGCAAGAATCACGTCATAAGATGACGCCTGTTGCTTTCTCAAACGCAAATCATGAAATGCAGTTGATACGCGCATGCGTATATTTTATTAGCACACGCGCACTCTCTCTTACACTATTGCTCATGCATTCATAAATTACATGTACCTAAGGGACACGCAGTCACCATGCGATTTGATCGTGATACTGGCAATTTTTTTTTGTTCCGTGAAAAGTCAAAGTATTACGGATCGTGCATGAAGTACCAATAAGAACTATTACTCTAGAGATATTATAATGGTGATTAGTGAGTATCGTTGATGGTTTAACCGATCGTGAATCGATCCTCCAAGACCGATCGATCGATCGTTCCTTTGAATATTTCATTGATTATACTACTGTCTCCATTTAGGAACAGTGCGGAGGCTAATAAGACTTCTGGATTACTGTAATCGATCGTATATCAACTCACGATCGATCGATCGATCTTGTACGAGCGATTGCAGCTCGCCGTACCACGGTATTGAACATTATTCGTCTGACCGACACGACGTTCTGTTGGAGTCAATTAAATCTTAAAACAATATATTAATTAGCGAGTGCGCAAGAGTACTAGGGACAATGGGAGAGAGTGTCAGTGAGAATGGGCGAGTGCATCGGAGAGAATGCGAGCGAGAGAATGTGAGATAGAAAGAGAAAGTAAGCCTACGAGAGAGGAAGTACGCGACGAGCAAGAAAGAAAGGGAGGAAGGGTGGTAAAGGATAGAACAAAAAAAATAGAAAAAGAGTGTAAAGGGAGTTATTGAAAAAAAAAAAAAAAAAAAAAAAAA